AGTCAAAATGAAATTTCGAGTAGTGCGCTTTAGCAAAACAACACCTAGCTGTTCTTCAAGTTGTTGCAAGCCTCTACTGACCGAGGATGGTGTTACATTAAGTTTTTTAGCTGCAAGGCTAAAGCTATTGCATTCAACAATTTTGATAAATAGCTCTAAATGCCGAAAAATAGCATAGCTGTCAATTTTTGCTTTAAACGCAAAAGTGTTTTTATTTATTAGCATTACCACACCCTATTAAACACATTTATTCCAGCATACTATAACAGTGAATTTATAGCAGTTTGTTATTGCAATGCCAGTATTATAAAAGTGTGATAATTAATTAAATCCCTACACAGTAATGTTGTTCCTAACTTTTTTAATAATTAAATCTATAACGTTGAGGAATAGACTATGTCTAATAGCATTCAGGTAAAAGCAGTTACTATATTGACACCAAGCAAAATACCATTATACAAAAATGATGTATGCCTGGTTATTTTATGTATAGGAATGGCAATTGGTTCTGGAATTGTATTTATGCCTGTGCAAATAGGCATTAAAGGTATTTGGGTGTTTATTGCTGCGACAATAATTTCCTATCCAGCTATTTATTGGTTACAGAGTCTTTATCTTAGAACACTATCAGAGTCTGAAGAATGTAATGACTACGCAAGTGTGATTACACAATACTTGGGTAAAAACTGGGGGATTGCATTAGGTATCGCATATTTCCTGATGCTATTGCATGGTATGTTTTTCGCTACTCACTAGCAGTCACCTTCGACAGCGCCTTTATATTTAAAACATTTGATAAACAGAAGGCTTATTATCTGACTCTGTTGGTTACGGCCCTTGCATTATATTTCTGTATTTAGCTTGCGATTGCCGCCTCAGGGAGCGTCTGTTGTTCAAAGTTTCTGGCCAATGTGATTGTGAAGTTCGCATAATTATTTGTGCTACTAGGCGGTGGTTATGGCTCCTTACCTGGAACTTTGCCAATATCACCGACTTTCCGATTTTTACCATTTATGCGTGATGTTTTCCTGACGTTGCCATTCACACTATTTTCTATTTTATTTGTACAAATATTAAGCCCAATGAATATTGCTTACCGTAAAATAGAAAGTGACAAGCGAGTTGCAACATATCGTGCTATACGAGCGAACCGTGTGGCTTATATTATCTTAGCTATTGCCGTTCTATTTTTTGCTTTCTCTTTCACTTTCTCAATTAGCCATGAACAGGCAGTTTCAGCATTTGAGCAAAACATCTCCGCCCTTGCTATTGCTGCGCAAGTTATTCCTGGAGCCGTTGTGAAGGTGATGACTGCACTGCTGAATATTTTTGCCATCTTAACTGCATTTTTAGGTATTTATCTGGGGTTCCAAGAAGCCATTAAAGGTATTGTAGTTAATATTATTAGCCGATTTATTCCTGAAGAGCGCATTAACCAAACGGTATTACACTATGGAGTGTGCTTAGGGGTGATTATCGCTCTATGGTTTTGGGTTTCAACGCGTTTCTCTATCCTTTTCTTTATGCAACTGGGTGGGCCGTTATTTGGTATTGTCTCCTGCTTAATTCCTTGTTATTTTAGTCTAGCAAAGCTATCACTGCTCTACATAAATTTCACAAGCGGCAACAGTATGCGTTCATCATCGTTGTTTGGTTCATTACTATGCCCCTTTCTCCTGTTCTTTAAGCACTTTTCATTTTCGCAATAGCCACATTATTGACGAGAGGATCTCATGAAGAAAAAAGCCCGCTTTCGAGTTTCATATCGATACGCCAAATTACACAGCCTAGGGAGAAACCTGCGGAGCAAGCTGGGTTTGTGAAGTGCTGCGCCAGTTTATCGGGCGGTCAACGGTTGTATTCTCATACTGTTGATATGCATTTAATTAACGACAGGGCGAGTATTAATTATGCCGGACTGCCTGGAACCCCCACGTATAACAGCTAGACAACATGTCAGGCTTGCGGGCGCCGAAGGAACGCGTTCTTTCGCGCCCATCCGAGTAGCGCCATTGCTACGATGGCTAGCTTAACATAATAATGATATTAACAGAAGTTATAATTAATAATATAAATTTAATAATACTTGAATAAAGTGATATTCATTAAATATACTGCGATAATATTACAAAGTGAGTCCAGTATTAGACTTTCGTATATGAAAAATGGAAAATTTATTGTTATAATTAAAAAAATAATTAAAAACAATACAAAAGGTTGTGAAATTTAACATATTTCGTAAAAATTAAAATCTTAAACAAAAATTGAAATAAAATTGAAAGAAAGTATAAAATTTATTAATCATAAAAATATTTAAAAGTATACAATTATTACAAAAATGGGTACATATAAAATACAAAAAATAATTTTAGCTGACTTAGTAGAAATTTTATTAAAATATTATGTATAAATAATAATTTTTCAAAATTATCTTCAAAAATTTGCAGAAGACTTCAATAAAAACTAGACAACAATTTCAGCTAGAGACCTCTTTAAGCTAAGCTTATAATATAATTTACATACATAAAAAAGGTAAATAATTTTTCCATATTATAAAAAATATCCTGAATTACAGGAGAAAAAACATATAATAGAAATTCATTAAAAATAGCACTGTAGACATTGCATGGAGGATGACGAAGTGGAATCACCAATACACCTTCTGTTACATTGTCCTGCTTTCGCAAGACATAGACTCTCTTCTTAGGGTCGCACTTTTTCAATTCAATAAGAGAGCTATATTCTATTTCACTAGCTCGTATCAATGGCTTTGTGGCCAGTACTGAATGGTTATAGTGACAGATGTCAAATTCTAAAGGGTATCACAATGGACTCATGGTCTAAGTACTTTTTCGGACGGCTCCAGTAACCTAACCTAACCTAACCTATATATATGAATTATGATTAGGAAGCACAGGATGCTAAATATCTTAGTCATATGTAAATGGAGTCTCTGTAACTACACGGAACTCAATGTAGGATTAATGTATATATGATTTAAATAAAAATAATATTCTATGATTTGAAAAATAATCTTGAACTAAAAATTAAAATACTTAAAGAAATTCAGAATAAACAACTTTATTGTTTTGTTGAAGCACAAATATCCATTTATTCTAATTTTAATTACAAAAGTAAATATTTTTAAGTAAAGCAAGATCAGATGACTTAGAGATTAGAGAGACTTTCATTATGATTTTCCGAAAAGTACATGAAAATATGTTAAAAAAGTAAGATATTCAAGTAAGTAAAACATCTTCTAGTTTACAATGCATAAATTTCCAACGTCAACGCCACTATACTTATATGATATAATATAAAATTATATAAAAAATATATATAAAATTATAATAATAAAATCCTCCAATTTCTAGCATTTTTAAAAAAATAATACAAGACAAACTAAAAATAAAAAAATCAGTCTTAAGTCACAACTACACAAATGCAATGAGTAATTTAACGAAATTTTTAAAAAATAAAAATAATTTAAATTAATTAAAAATATTTTAACATGCATAATAACTAAATATCATAATTTTTTATTTTTTAAATCGAAATCTACAGCATAAATCTAAACAAAAAGAAATATATTAGAATAGGTCAAAAAGATCCAGTAGTAAACATAAATTAAAACATTTGCAGCTAAAATTGCTATTATTCATAAAATCAGTAAAATTGATTAGTTACAGAAAACTCAATGAACTAACATAAATTTTATAAATATCTACATATATACTTTACCTTACCTTTATACCTTACCATGCAAATTGAATTAATTTTAGCATTTGAGAGGCAATAAATAAATCTTATAGAACGCGAAATGCGATTAGTACTTCTCTTCAATGCTATAAGAGTTGATTGGTTTACTTCATCCAAAGATTTGAGAAAACTAATTTACAATAACAAAAAGAAGCATCAAGATTTGGTATGCTGTTTGGTGTCATTTTGCATTTATGTTAACGTTAAAATGTTACTGTAATGAAGCGTAATAATGATTGACAGCAGCAAAATTATATATTCAATGTTTTTAAAGGAAACATAACAACACAAATTAAGCAAATAATATTTAAATAAATATTATTCTAATTGCATCAATGGAAAATTTTACAGTATACAAAGATGTTTATATATATATAATGAGTATTAGAACTGAGTATATAAATTTATCAAATCTATAAATTTATGCGTTTACGTACACGGACTCAGTCAAATATTAGTGTAAATTTAACAATCTGCTTTACATATAATAGCACTATTATTATCAGAATGCAATGCTCAGCAGCGCAATTGTGTAGCCAATATCGTTGCAATATGGTAAATATTTTTGCAAACTTTATTGATCAGCTGTGTCGCTATAAATAAATTATAAAATAAAATACTGAAATTGAGCGAAAAGCTCAAACTTGTTTGCAAAGATATTTTTATAAATGATTTCCTCGTATTGAAATGCAACTCTGTATTGACAACATATAAATTTATACGATATAAATTTGATCGGTAAAATTTTTGTGTAAATTTATCAAGTTTGTGTAAACTTAATTTCATACAAAATTTGATATTTTCATAAATTTAGTGTTTAAAAATGTATCTACAGAATACTTGGTATCTGAATTGAATACGTCAAAATCCGACCGCTATTTGATTTGAACCAATTTGTAGCATTTTTCTCATATATGTATGTAAAAAACAAATTCAATTAATTTTAATCATTTATACAAGATATTTAAAGAAAACAAAATTGAATTACTTTTATTTTAACATTGAGGTTTTACCGTAAATTTTACTACTGGATTAATAAAAATATATGTATTTTCATACACTCCTACACACAATCTACTTAAATGTGATTTAGTAAATTCTGTCTTAGAATAAACGAAGTAACATTTATTATATTGGCAAAAAATTTTTAACATATATTGTATTTTATTAAATAAAAAAAAATTAAATATAAATCAAAGAAGACGAAAAGAATTTATCTAAACTGAAATTATAAAACTAAAGTCAACATTTATTACAGAAACATTATTACCATGTGAAATTCTGCCACGCCCATTTAGACATAACGTGCTAAACAACTCAGTACAGTAAATTCTAAAAATTGTAATATGAAATACAACCAAAATGTTTGCATTTACTTATATTTAATCGAAATTAAATTAAAAAACAAAAATAAAACTAAAAATAAATACTCAAAAATTTGTAAAAGTTGCTAATGAAACATAATGAACATTTCAACATATTTCAAAAATATGTAAAACTCAAAAATGTGTTTTGAAATTAGCAACAAATCAACTGATTACTACATATATATATATATATATATCTACTGAACTTAAATATAAAAAATTGAGGAAAATTTCATAATTGACAGCAACTAAATTAAAGAAAAATAATTAAATCTTTCCTATTTAACAATACTAACAAATATTAGGAGAAAATGTTTGCCTTAAGTATTTTTTAAATAAATACAATATCATATATACAATATGTATATTGAATATGTATATGTATATATATATATATACATAAATTTTAACATAAAATTGTAAAACTTAGAAAAAAAATTTCCTTTAAATGAACCCACCATCCCTACAAGAAAAGAAGAGACACTTAATATGTTAAATACAAAGAAAATCTCAATAGTATAAAAAACTTATTTGGCTAAGGAAAACATTCGAATTATTCGATGAAATCGAAATAAGGAAAATCATCCGCCCATGGATTAAACATTACTGTAACAATGAAATATGCATACGAAAACAATTAAGAGTTCATTTTAAAGCAATTGTCAATGAACCTGTAAAAGCAACACAAAAATAAAAAAACTTTTTAGAATAAACTCAGATTCCCCAATAGTTAACAATTTCTATAGAGAGTGAAAACTAAAACTCTCAAACAATTCACAACTCCAATAATGAAATAAAAATTTATCCAAAAATACCCTATCCCTTCATCCTACCAATCTTTAATTCCTACATCCCCAAAATCCCCAAATGAATAAAGAAGAGATCGTATATCATCCAAATACTACAAGAAAATAATGTGTCAAAAACCGCATTTTTCAATGCGAAAAAAAACAACTGATGATATCAATTGGGTCGCATGGAAGATAACTATCAGAGTGGAAGGAGGAAGATATGTAATAATATATACATACGTATATATAAATCGCATTTTTAAATGCGTTCCGATATTAAAAATAATGCTAGATTTCCGTATTGTTAACAATTTTTATAATTAACAAAAATCCTTCAAGCAATTCACAATCCTAATAATCAAATTCCGAATTATACTGAAAATTCCTTTTCCTTAGTCCTTATCAATATTTAAAATCCTACATCCCCAAAATCCCCAAATGAATAAAGAAGAGATCGTATATCATTCAA